GATACAAAGTCAACACCCAGAAATCGATAGTATTCCTATACACAAACAACAAACAGACTGAGAGAGAAATTAAGGAAACATCCTCTATATACCAAAAGCCATACTCAAAAATGTATTTAGTATGACACCTCAATAGCTGAAGTAAAAGCATTCATACGTCTGCTGTACTTAGCAGGGCTGTGGGCTTGAGGTTTGTACACTAATGATAACACTGAGGAGATTTGGCTTTCTTCAGAATTGCCTGAGATTTGATGACAAAACTACCCACCAGCAAAGAAAAAGAACTGATATGTGGCTGTTATCTGCTCAGAGCTTGAGAGATTTATGGGTAATTGTCAAGAAATTTACACACCATCTGAAAACTTGACTATTGATGAACATCTAACATCATTTCATGGTCACTATAGCTTCAGGCAGTACATTCCCAAAACACCTTCAAAGTATGGCACAAAAATTTATGCCCTTGTACATGTGAAGTCTTATGCTGATGTGAAAATGCTGATGTCTATGCCAAGCACTCATTATACATTTGATATTTTATTTTATTGATATCTTATCTTGCTGCTAAGTGTATACTAGTACAATATACTAGGAAGCTCCTGACAAAATAGGAAGAGAGGTGACAAGACTGCCACATAGGAAAGGAAAGCTAAGCACATACGATATCAGTGTAAGAGAGATGTGTGCATGGAACATGCAGTTGTCATGTGTAAAGACTCCCTTGAGCGTGACAATTGAAGCAAAGCTTATTTCTGTTGTAAAGTTCTATTGGTATTTTCCTTGTAATTCATATAGGAATTTCTGATGTTCTTTTAGATTCTGTAAGCAGTACACATCTGATGTGAAAATATTGATGTTTATTATAAACATGTACCACGAAGAAGAAATTAATACTTAATTTTATTGATATTTTATGTTTCTGTTGACTACACATTGTATAATATGATAAGAAGCTCCTGACAAAACAGCAAGACCAGCAAGACGTCAAGTGTGTCATACAAAAAAGCCAGGAAAGCAAAACACATGTGCTGTTGGTGTAAGTGATATATGTGTATGGAACATGCTGTTGTCATGTGTGAAGACTGCCTTAGGTGTAATATCTGAAGTAAAGATTATTTTTTTGTAGAGTTCTATTAGTGTTTTCATTGTAATTCATATAGAAATTCATTTGTGTTCTTTTTTAGACTTAGTACACCAGAAAACAGTTGATGTTGAAAATTTTGATGCTTTTTTATAAGCAATAAATATTAAAAATTCAATACTTTATTTTAAAAATATTTTTCCTGTTAAGTACTCATTAATACAATTAGAATTAATAATCCCACTCATATAAATATACTGTTCTCTAAGATAAATTCTGTAAATAATACTGGCTCACAAGACATGACAGACAAGATTTTCTAAATGAAAGTATGTAGAAATATACACTCTCTTAGATACATTTTAGAACTTGCTTCCTTGGCAGCAGGCACAGTAAAAAAAAATTAAATAAATAAATGTCAATCATCTAAGAAATGTGAGTGCTTGACCCTTCTGCAATCAATTAGAGCCAAGGGTATTCACTTTACCTGGAAAGGTCAGGGGATGTTTAGGAGACAGAAAGCTTCAAGGAGGCACTTAAGCACACTTCTTTCTCAACTACTCAGTGCACAATGCAAAGTAAATTAGTTGAGTGGGTCTATCATAGTAGCTGTTGAAGCTGTTTAGAAATTTTAAGCAAAACCTCCTTCCAAAGTTTATTCTCTTGTTTATTTGCACTAAAGAACAGCAAGTGCAAAACCAACAGAGATGATGTTCAGTGAAAAGAATTTTTATAGCAAGTAATTAAGTTGAGAAAACTGAAAAAAGAGAATGTCTTATTTTGGTGTCCAAATGAATAGGAACCCAAAATCTTGCTTTTAATTCTTTCAAAATAATTACAAAACTAAAACTCTGTAAATGACAATCTAAGGAAACCTGTACACCCCCCTCTGACTTCTGAAATACAGTGCAACTTTCTACCATCTGTTATTTTAAAGCAGAAACAGTAATGAACATATGGCCTTTCTCTATCAAGCAGCTGTAGTGTAGTTAAAGTTATAATAATTGTCTTTTGTAAGATAAATTTACATTAAAAGCTTGGCCAGTTAAAAACAAATGGCTCAGCCTCAGAGCCTTCCACGATAAAATTTATTTATTTTTTTTTATTTTTTATTTTTTTTGGTTTTTCTCCGGTACCGGGAACCGAACTCACGACCTTGCGCTTGCCAGGCAGGCGCTTTTGCCGCTCAGCTAAATCCCCAGCCCCCCACGATAAAATTTAAAAATTCAGAGTCATTTATAACATATTATATTTAGAAACGTGGAAATCTTCTGAATATTGTGTTTGAGGCTAAATAAATCAGTTTATTTCTTTCTTTTTTTTTTTGGTTTTTCTCCAGTACCGGGAACCGAACTCATGACCTTGCGCTTGCCAGGCAGGCACTTTGCCGCTGAGCTAAATCCCCAGCCCTAAATCAGTTTATTTCATTAAAGAGTCCACAATTCATGTTTTCTTTCTTGATCAAAATGGCAGCAACATCCGACAGCTAGTTAACTTCTTGAAAGATATTAATCTACACTGTCACTGAACTCCACTGTAAATCCCACTTATTCATAAGAAAAATCTCAACACATGTGACACATAAACTTCCACCTTGACTATAGCCATTTATAATGAGTTTAAGTAAATTGAAAGGAACTCAAAATATATTTATATCTTATGAAAAATAGAAATTCTACCTACCTTTATCTGGGTGATTCAGAATCATAATTTTTCTGTGAGCTGTTCTAATCTTGGCTTTCCCAGCAGATGGGCTGTAAAAAGAAATTATAAAGTGCTTATAATAAGTAGTACCAAATACAAGTTATAAATTAACAATTTATACGGGTGTCAAGAAATTAAAAACTAATGAGAATTTCACCATCTTGTGGACAAATACAAAACTACAGCTTTTCAATGAATTCCACTAACCATCAAATATATCATTGATTAACGATACATTATATTGATTCTTCAGTCCTTTCTACTATCCTTACTCTCAGTGAAAAGAATAAAACATATGCATGATTTGGGAAAGTCATAGTATGCACAGTGTAGGTTATGCTTCTAAGTTGTTCTGGAGGAAGGTAGCACACACTGTCCTAGCAGACAGTTACCTGGACTCCAGAGCTAGACGGCTGGATTTTAATTCCAGCAATGCTACTGAGAGAGAAATGGGTAACCTCGGTCAAAGTTTTAACCTCTCTGTGTTCAGTTTCCTCATCTCAAAACAGAGCTAGTGACATGTTCCTCACAGACCAACTATAAGAACACTAAATGACTTCATGCGTACAAAGTGCTAGAGCAGTGCCTGGAATGTAGCATGTGCTCTACTATTGTATGTTACCTTTATCATCTTTCACTAGAGGATCCCCAAACCCTCTTTATGGCATAGTTTATTTAGCTTTGTGAGAAACCTATATGAAAGGGTTTGCTGTTAGAGCCTGTTATGGTTTGTGTCTAGATGTCTCCCCAAAGTCTCATGTGGTCCAGTGTGTGTGTGTGTGTGTGTGTGTGTGTGTGTGTGTGTGTGTGTATGGTGTTTCAGAGGTGACTGAACCTAGAGTTTGTGATTGATCTTCATGGTCCATTGCTGGGATTAAGGGTGTGAGTGCTATATCCAATACAATATAAGAGACAGAAAGAGGCTTTATCTCTTCTGTCTCTCCCTGGCCCACTTGCTGCTTTTGCTGTCTTTGGCCCATGATGAACTGTTTCACCTCTGTGAGGCCCCTCTGCCATGCCACCCCGCTTGGAGCCGGCTGAGTACGGACTGAAACCTCCACAAACTGTGAGCCAAATAAACCTGTCCTCCTTTAACTTTGGGTGTTGGGTATTTTGTCTCAGCAATCAGAAAAGTAATTAAGACAGAGCTCATGCTGTATATTAAAATTAATGGAGAAAGTCAAATAAACCTAAAATTATTTTGGTGAAACCTAATTTACTCAATATTAGAAATGTTTATCATTACACATGGAAAAAAAATGAAAACTAACACTAAAATTCTATTACTGCTACTTAATAGTATACTATTTTATCTAAACCACTTAACTTTCCTGGGTCTCAAACTGAGTTAATAATACCTGGCTTAAAGTTCAGGGTAGTTCTTATGAAGCTCCAAAATGCTATGGTGCCTAAAAATGTAGACTTTTAAATTACTTTAGGGTCAAATTCCTAATTCCAACACTCATTAGTTACAAAACTTTGTTTTGTATATTACTTAAACTCTTTGAATTATAATTTCCTCATATGTAAAATGCACATAATAAAATCTACTTCCCAGGATTACTTTAAAAATAAATTAGGTAAACAAGTAGAAAGATCAGCATGATCGAGCTGTACAATGGAAAGGAAAGACGCTTATAAAAATACATTATATATTTTCTACTTTTAAAACACAAGACTATAAATAACCTAATCTTACATTTCCTGAGCAATTCAGATACATTATCATAACTACCAATTTAACAAGAACTAACTTTCAAGGTCTGCAGAGGCCAGCCTGCCCCTCTTCTAAGTGGGCTCAGAACACTACAATGCTGTCTTGAACAGTGCCCCTCTTCTGCTATCAGTTGTCAACCCTTGATGCTGCTAGTGTTCCATTCTCTCAGTTTCTTGCCACCTCTAACTTCCTTCAGGTAAATAACAGATTAACAAGTATGTTAAAATGTGCTATTAACTGCCAAATAGCACATAAAATATTCTGCTATGAATAAAATGAGTCTTTCCATGTAAGGGTTTATGGATATTGCTTTTGGCTGTTTACAGAAGTCTTCTGGAGGATCGCCGCAAACCTACTTTTTGGCTTGTAAGTGCCTCCCAGAGAGACAGTCAGATACTGATTACAAAAACACTCCCAAATTCTGAGAAAGTAACCATTACACATTGTACTGAGGCTATAAGCACTATATTGTTTAATTGTCCATTAAGAAATGAAAAGCATATAATCCTGAAATTCTAGTATAATTTAGTTGCCTGTGGTAAATCTATATAAATCATTTGCTTTTTGGATACAATTCTCTCCTTTATTAGTTATGATTTCTAATTGTTCTGTATATATTTGACATGTCTCCTTAAATACATTCTAAATTACTTAAGGGCAAAAGCTATGATTGTATCTTACAACAGTATTTAGGGTTATATATGTAATGGCTGTTTAATGTATCTTATATCACCTTCCCCCAAAAGAATGACTGGAAAAAGGCACAAGGGCTCTGTATTACCAAATATCAACAGTACAGCATCCTCAGAAAGCTGCTGTTGGGCATGACGATGCACATCTATAATCCTAGCACTCTGGCTGGCCGAGGCTGGAGGATCGTGAGTTTGAGCCCAGCAATTTAGACTGAGTGAGACCCTATCTCAAAATTTAATAAAAGGGCTAGCAATGTAGGCTCAGTGTAAGAACCCTGGGTTACAAGAGTGACAAACATACACACATACATAAAATTAAAATAAAATAAAAATAAAAAAGACTACTAAAGTAAAAAAATTAAAAAGGAAGACATAAAACCTTACTTCATAAAGCTCGTCACGAGATTATGAAGATAAAAATTCAATAAAACTGAAATTTCCATTATACATTTTTTAGTACGTATGGAATAATGTTCTTATTCTGGATATTAAGTTTTAATTGAACACATAAAATCTGAACATCATTCAAAATTATCCTTGAAAATCAATTACACTGCCATAAAAAAGAGTATACATGGCATTGTACATAAAAATACATAAAGTATGATGTATATTGAGGTCTGCCAACAACCAAACCAGATTAAACAACACAAGTAAAGTTCATACACACAAGTATGGCAATTCAAACCATTCAAACCATTATGCCTTTAAGATAATAATTATGGGCTGGGGATATAGTTCAGCAGCACAGCGCCTGCCTGGCAAGCACAAGGTCCAGAGTTTGATTTCTGATACCAAAAAAAAAAAAAGATAATAATTATTAGACTCAATGGCAAGCTTCAAGAATAAAAGAAGTATTCTCATTTGCCTGCAGAGTTTATTTCCTTTTTCTTATAGCTATATTAAATCCCTAGACCTGTACTACATTTTAGTATATTTGCTACTTTGACGATTAAAGATGGGAGAAACTTAGGGGAAGAATTACACATAGCTGTGACACAAACCCGCACACAACATCACTGCAACTGAAACTGTAACTTGAGGTATCTGCTCTAACTACATCAAGGGTTTCAAACTACGCTCCCTAAAATATATTAGGCTGGAGCTGAGGAGTAGGGGATATGGAACTGAGTGGTTTCCCCAACCCTGTAGCAAATGGAGTTTTAGTTTCACTTTTTTTTTAACCATTAGGCTTTTAAATAATACTTACATAGAATTCTATAATGTTTTCAGAAAGTTTGAAAATCACAGATGTATATCATTTCAGATAATACCAGCTATAATGCCAGTTTTTCTGGGAAGTACCGTAAGTCATTTTAGGCTTTTTATAATAGATATGAGAAAACTATTCTTTTGCAATGAAAAATATAAAACAAAGACAAACACGCCTCTTAACAAAGAATCACCCTTAAATGTAATAGGTAAGAATGTATAAGAAGAATCTTCCAGTAGCACATATTTTTCTTTAATAGGGTATCAAAAGAATCAGTTTGATTTTATCTTTACTTACTCATTATATAACCTACATAAGTTCAGTGAGCACAGAAACTGGAACCACACCAATGCATTCATATCTTAAAAAATATCGTCTTTATCAGTGCTGCCTGACTGAGAATGGGCTATAGGAAAGCGCTAAGTTTCACCTTTTCATCTAATGTATGAGAGCAAATATTTAACTTCTACATTCACGACAGAGATGGGAAGAGAAAGGAGCCAACATTTATTCAGCACTTTACTGGTAAGCACTTATATAAAAAGATATCAGTGTATCACTTTTACTAAAAAGATATCAGTGTATCACTTTTACACTATTTTAACAGGGCAAATATTATTAATTCCAATTTAAAAATGAAGGTGAAGTGCATAAAAGCTAGAACTAACTTGACCCAGATCATCTAATGCAGTTCCTAAGCAGCAGCTTCAGGATAAGGATATGCTTTGTTAAGTTGATATTTGTTAAGTAGGTGCTGTGCCATGTTTGGGGTTAAGCACACTTCCTATACATAATATAATTTTATCTTCATAGCAATTCTATGCAGTAGAAACTAATAGATGGTAAAACTGGTATTCCTACCCAGATCTGCTTGCCATCAATCTGTGCCCTGTCTTGCCTTGTTTGTTCATTTATTTTTTTGAGACAGGGTCTTGCTCTGTAGCCCACCCTGGCCTTGAACTCAGAGTAATCCTCATGCCTCAATCTCCTGAGTGCTGGGATTATAGATCTGCACCACTGCGTCTAGCAGAGTTTGTGTTCTTCATCACTGAATTTCCCTTGTGAATTGTACAGCATTTAGTTCAAGTGGGTGAAACTTATATCATGTATGTTAAGAGAACTAAAAAATATAACCAACTTCTACTTATCTGTCCTAACAATATAGGTGTCATGGATAATAACAATTATCCTTTAAACCTTTATGTTTGGATTTATACTGTATTTCATACTCACATCTAAATATTATAAGCAAGATATTATGAGAGGCCAATAATAAGGAAAACAATTGCATTCTAAATAATATTAAGCAAGGAATAGTTAGCAATACAGCTAACTTTCTGATCTGCTCCCTTGCTTAGTGGTATCCTTTACTATTCTCTGATAAGAATTCTGTCTTGTGGGGCTGGGGATTTAGCTCAGCGGCAAAAGCGCCTGCCTGGCAAGCGCAACGTCGTGAGTTCGGTTCCCGGTACTGGAGAAAAACAAACAAACAAACAAACAAAAAAAAAGAATTCTGTCTTGTTAGATTTAAATAAAGCACCAAGCTGAACTGCTGACTGGTAGGCACACTCTTTTCTTTACCTTTTTCATGGCAGGTCGTAAAAAATAAAATGTTTGGCTTAAAAACATGCTGATTTGCATGAGGTTAAAATATTTTCTGCCAATATAGGACTTTATTATCTATTCTGCTTAATTATATTTATTAAATCACTAAAAGATTTGTTGTAGATGACATACTGTAACCAATTCCCTCACGAACTGGAGAGTTAACGGAATGTAAGGGAAACAAATGAATACAACTGCTAGTAAATTTATGGCACAGGAAAATATGCCTAACTTTAAGGATTAAATAAATTACACAGAAATAATACAATATTACAATACTATTAACTTTCCTCTTATGCTGTCCAAAATTAGATAATAAATTGATACTAAGGTGAAACAAGTAAAATAAATATACTAAATGTTAAGCTGAAGAAGTAGAAAACCTTATTATAATTAAAAATATTATATATATAAAATTATAAAACTGAAATGAGAGACAATTCAGCATCATAATAAAGGATATTATGATTGATTGATATGAAACTATGTATTCAAAGACAACAGTTTCTTGTTAAAGAAAATCAATATTCCCTGATATTTTTTAGGAAGAGAGAGTTGCTTTCTTAGATCCGAAGTTTTAAAAAGTAAAAATCTGGTATCTTCTCTGCTTCCTATTTATAATTTTAAATATAAATATAAAAGTTGTTAGATACTTTTTAATAAACATTTCTTTATCTTTTGCAAGACAAGCTTGGCCACAAAACAAAAACACATATGCAGCATACCTACCTTATACCTAAAATAAGACTAGCTTCTCGCCGACTCATTTTCTGTTCAAATCCTCCTTTATAATAAGATGAAAGGTTCTGTACAAGAAAAAAAGTGCAGGAAATAATTAGTTTGAGGCATGAGGTGGCATGACCTCAATCCCATCACATAGCTGCAGTAAAAGAAATGCATTTTACTGGAAATGATATGAGGAGAAAGCACCAAACAATGATCTTTTTCAAGAAATGCTAACCAAGACGAACATTAAAAAACAATTTTTTTAACTTTAAGTACATTAACTTTTCTACCCTGAAATACAAAAGAAAGGATAGAAGAAGAGTGGCTGGAGGAAAATGCCAACTTTTTCCAGGTTCTGGGCTGCTTTTTTCATGGGAAACCTTGACCAAGTCATTTATATAGAAATGTTAAGACATTTTTGACTATTAGTCTGGCCAACAAAGAAATGCCAAACTGCCATTTATCGACTTCCTTTATAGCAAACAAGTAAGCCAAGAGGGGCTGGGAACCCGGACTGAATAGTCAGGGGGACTGGAGAAGTATGAACTATGAGGGGAGGGGGATCAGAAAGGTAGTAGAGGCTGACTGAGAAGCAGCAGAGATAGGATTTTCTTTTAAAAGGGAAGCCGAAGCACTGGAGTAACACAGTCTGACTTTGCTTTGAGAAGATTACTCTAGCTTTGGTGTGTAGAATAGAGGCAGAGGTTAGGGAATCACAAACTCAATCCCAGCTTGGGCAATTCATTGACAGACCCAGTTAGGACAGACAGAACACTGGGCTGAGGATTCACTCCCCTCCACCAATCTGAGCTCAGGTGCCACCCTAGGAACATTCAATGCAACTAAAGCACAAGCAATCTTTGTTTCTCTCTCCTGAGTCTAAAAACCTGATTTACCCATATGGCAGGGAATGTTTCTTTTCTGTTATTCCAGCACCATTTCTCTGTTTGTGACTGCCAATAAACATAGCTGCTTCTTCCCTCACCACTGAGTACACACTCTGCAATGCTTCGCTTGCCATACCCGAGAGTTTAGAATTATCTGTCAGATCACAAAATGGTTACATGTGACAAAATTACAAATTATATAGAGGACACTGCTGTGCACTGCCCAGATTTCTGTTGGGGAGTGCAGGGCTTGGTCCTCAGGTGCTAGCAGACAGGTCTCAGCTCTCTGTTTAGGAACTGCCTTGCCTCAAGAATGTCAAGCTCGTGCATCTTTCCTCCAGCAGCCTCTCTCCAATGACTGGTTGACAATGGGTATAAACGTAGTTCTGTAAGGTTCAGTTCTTGGACTTCCACGTACACTCACTTCCCAGGTGATCTCATTTAATCTCACGGTGCCTTCCCAACACAGGTGACTGCAGTGAGCCATCCTGGCCTCAGATGTCCCATGGGCCTGGGCTTCATTAACACTGTATTGTAGGTAGCCTAACCTGTTCCCCCACATTTCATTTTGTTTCTTTCTGGAGCTGCTGATCTAAGAGCACTCCCCAGTAACTCTATAGATCACTAATCTTTGGATCAGTCTGCTTCAGGTTGGCTTTGAACTCACATTGATCCTCCAGCCTTGGCCTTCCCTGAATGCAGAGATGATGGCCCATGCTACCATGCCCAGCTGAAATGGCATCATTGAGTGACATGGATGTGGAGGGAAATCAGTAAAAGAGGTCAAGACTCAGCAGTGAGTGGGAAAACTAGAGGCAAAAAGTAAGGAAATGAATGGTTTCAAATGCTTCTGATAGTAAAGCAAAATGTGAGCTAAGAACTGACCTCTGGATTTAAGAGAGGAAGTCAAAGACTCCTCTAAAAACAAGAACTGCAAGGGGTGGGGGTATGAGTTTAAGACAGAAATGGGAGCACACAAATGGAGACAGCAAGTAAGAGCAAATATTTTCAGGACTCTATAAACAAAATAGGATGTACTAACTAAGCTTTTAGAAGGAAAAACATGTCTATATGGTTGCATATATACATGTTTCTAACACATGAAGCTATATATTTTTAAAGGAAATTAAGTAAGCATAGCTGTCCCTCAGCATCCATGAGGGAGTAGTTCCACGACCTCCTTAATAATATCAAAATGTTCAGATACTCAAGTTCCTTATATACAATGGCACAGTATTTGCATATAACCTACATGCATCCTCTCATATCTAACAAAATATAAATGACATGTACATAGTTATGTTATATTGTATAGGGAAATGACAAAAGAAAACATGTTTGTACTTGTTAAATACAAATTATTTTCCCAATATTTCTGATTTCCAGTGGGGTGAATCTACAGATGTTAGATATGGAGGGCTGACTGCATATGTTGGCATAAAATAAATCTCAAAGTATGCATACCAAAATGATTACACTCAAATGTTATTTTGGGTGGTAGGATTTTTCTCCTTTCTTTAACTTTCGAAATCTTCAACAATGAACCCATGCTACTTACACAATTTTTTAAAAAGAGGAATAAATAAGAGTAAATAAGAAAATGATCACAACTTAAAAGAATCCCATGGAGTTAGATCTGGCCATTAATATAAACTATTTTCTTTTAATAGACTGTTATAAATTTCTACTTAGTAATAATTCCTGGCAATTAATTCACTCAACAAACACTTTAGCAACTACTCTAAGTAAGGTACTTGTCAAGTGAGATGGGTCAGGTCTGTCCTTCATCCCACAAATGCTAATCCATCAGTGTACCAGTACTGTGAGGAATATGATGTACCAGTCTAAGTTTCAAGTATTTATAGTAAGTATGAAAACAAAACAAATATTCTTCTATCCCACATAAGTTTTGAGGGAAGAAGGGAAAACTGGCTAAATATACATACTACCCTGCACAAATTTTATACCTTTCTAAATAGGTAAACATACAAAAAGAGACAGACAGACGGATAAAGCTAGGGCGAGAAATGAACAGGAGACTTAACAGAGGAACAGGTGGCTTTAAGGCCTCTCAGGAGACCATAATCTTTACTAAATACAAAACTTGCTCCTTACATGAAAGATAATTTTTTTATTTACTTACAGCAAAAACAGTAATACTACCAACTTGATCTACAGCAGTCATATCTTTTTTTTTGTACCAGGAATCGAACTGGGGACCTTGCACTTGCCAGGGTGGTGCTTGTGCCACTGAGCTATATACCTGGCCTACAGCAGTCATTTCTACAGGTGTAGATTTGTTTTTATTTTTGTTTGCAAATCATGCTCAAGACATGGCATAGAGTAACACTTTACTCAAGAAAAAAATTTTTCAATGAGAATTTACCTTAGGTAACTCCATAATTTTGAGTCAACAAAATAAAGTACATAAATTGGTGATTATTTCTTAAACTGTCATTTTCAATACAGTCACAAAGCCAATCACTTTAAAAGCAAGTAAAACAAGTTTAGTTTTGCTGAGGTAGAAATGGAATCTCAGAGAAGGCTCCTTAAAATCTATTGTATGGAAGAAGCTTGTATCCTAGACCACTGACTTCATCACAAGTAAGTCCATTTTTATGTAGATAATTATCATAACACTTCTAAAAGAACTTTTTTAAAAATTAAATTTATTGGCACACTTTTGACATACATAATAGTCACATCCATCCTAGGGATCACATTCAACATTATATACCTGTACATAATATATCTTGAGCCTTCTTTTTTTTCCCCATTCCCCTTGTTGGAAATGAAACTCCAGACTCAATTTATCGATGCAGATAATCAAGCACTTAGACATTAAGAAATTTCTTCAAGACATCTTACCTCTGTAGAAGCAAAGAAGCCTGAGGTAGCATGCGTGCAGGACAAAGGAGGGTTGCCCCTTTTATCCGAACACAGGAGAAGCAGTTGACCTTTAAATTCACTGGCTGAACTGAAAGGTTTACAATCTATCACTGTTGACTGAGTGGCATAGGGAGGTGCACTGCTGAGTAAGATGGGGGGCTGTGGTTTGGAACTCAAAGTCCTTGGTTCTTATTGTGAGGGTGGGGGTGGTTAGAGATGACTTGTGGTTTAGAATGAAAAGCTCTTAGCTCTTTATCTTGGAAATAGGCTGTGTTCTGCAAAAAGATACATGGTCACCATTTCTTGGAACTCAGGATATTAACAGGGATGGAAAGGTGGTGAGCGGATGGCCAGGTCATTTAAACCCAACATGGAGTTGCTTGGCCTTGTGCTTTGACAGAAAAGACAAAGCCTGTTTCTCACACCCTCCACTCCCTTCAACCCCTTTCTCTCCCCATTTACAAAAGCTTTGTTTCTACTTTGCCTTCTATTTCCTTTTCTCTTCCCTCCCCCTCCCTCATCCCCTTCCCTTTCGAACATGTTCTTCCTGCTTCCCAACATCTCCCTCCATTCTGGTCCTTGTTCACCCTTTGGGTTTCTCACGCAAGAGAAACAATTGGATGACATTTAAACATGTGTCTGAGTTATTTCACTTAAAGTTATGTTCTCTAGGTGCATCCACTTATCCAAAAATGTCTCAAGTTTATACTCCTTTATGGCAGTGCATATAAAACCCATATTTTCTTTATCCATTCATCTGCTGATGGGCATCTGGGCCGTTTCCAAGATTTAGCTATTACAAATTGTGTGGGGCTATAAACATGGGTGTACATATATTGTCGTGGTATAAAGCTTTTAATGATTTTGGGAAGACACCATGAAGGGGAATAGCTAGGTCAAATGGAACCCCCTAGTTTTGGTTTTTTTGAGGGATCTCCATACAGATTTCCATCTTGGTTGTACCAATTTACACTTCTATGAACAGTGGAGAAGGGCTCCTTTTAACCAAAGTCTTGCCAGCAATTGTTACTGAGTGACTTCTTGGTGACAGTTACTCTTTCTGGAGTGAGATGGAATCTCAGTGTTGTTTTAGCTTGCATTTCTTGAATGACCAGTGATGTTGAGCATTTTTTTCCATACATTTATTTGATGTTCATACTTCTGCATCTGACAAGTGCCTATTCATTTTGGATGCCCATTTTTGGATTGGGTCATTGGGGAGATGTGATTTTTTCCGAGTTCTTTATATATTTTATATATTCTCTGCCACAGGAAATACCTGGTAAAATTTTTTCCCTTTCTGT